AAGAGCCTCAGGCCAAAGTCCCAAACCGCTTTTGTCCTGACTCAGTGTGAGCTGCCCTCCTTAGATCGTAGGTTCTGCAGTCTGCTTGTTTGGCTCCCAGTTCCAGCTCAGCCACATGGGCAGGTCTCCCAGTGTGTGCCACCCTGCTCTGGGACCACCGGCCCCCAGCAGCCAGGGCAGCCCAAGGGCTGAGAAACCACGGGCTCCCTGAAGCTACTCCACTGTGAGGTTTTGTTTGTTTCCTTGAGATAAGGTTTGGCTATGCAGCCCAGACTGGACTGAATAAGCCTCCTGCCTCAGCCTTCCAAGTGAGTGCTAGGCTAACAGGCCTTCACGGACACCCCAGGCTTCCACTGTTTAAAGAGTTACGGTGGCTGGCAGCTACATCACATGTGGCATGATCAAGCTGTGGGCCATGGCGTGTTCCCTGTCCCCCTTCTCCTGGTGACAGTGGGGGGCATCTGGGATTCTGTTACATGTGTGTTGGTGTCTCCTCTTCATCTGAGGGTGTCATTCACACGGACAGCGAGACCTTGTTTGACACGCTGTTACCCACAGCCTTCATCGGTCAACTCTCACAACTGCACAGGTGGGTGTGAGGGCCTCGCTCTCCACGTTTTTATTTTAAAGGAAAACAGGCACAGAGGTGCTAAGTAATTTTTCCAGGGCACCCAGAGAGTGGTGTTGCTGGGTTCTCACCCGGGCAGCTTAGCATTGGGATCTGGACTTTCCTCAATGCCGCAGAGGCAAACACCAACCAAACAACAACAAAAAACAGAGCTGGTTCCGGCAATGTGGACATGCAACCTCAGCTACACTGGAGGTTGAAGATAGAGCATGGGTTCACACCGGGCAGGGACAACTTAGCAAGTTTAGTCTCAAAATAGAAATCACAAAAAGAGTTAGGGATGTAGCTTGGTAGAAAGTGCCTGCTGGGAATATGGCTGAGCGGTAGAGCAGCTGCCTAGAATCCCCCAGTGAGGGGCTGGGGTGTGGCTCAGTGGTAGAGCCCCTGCCTAGAATCTCCCAGTGAGGGGATAGGGTGTGGCTCAGTAGTAGAGCCCCTGCCTAGAATCCCCCAGTGAGGGGCTGGGGTGTGGCTCAGTGGTAGAGCCCCTGCCTAGAATCCCCCAGTGAGGGGCTGGAGGTGTGGCTTAGTGGTAGAGCCCTTGCCTAGAATCCCCCAGTGTGGGGATAGGGTGTGGCTCAGTAGTAGAGGTCTTGTCTTACATGCACAAAGCTTTAATCTTTGGAACTAAAATCATGGTCACAATGACTGTTGAAACTGCTTAATGCTCTTGACAAAAATGGCCTGGCAGCAAGGCAAGGACACGGGAAGTGGACATTTGTCCTTTGAGCACTGGCCAGTACCTATTGCCACCACTAACCTCTTCCCAGCCTCTGCCAGGCCATCTCCCCAGGGGTTGGCCTGGGTCAGGAAGACACCAATTGGAGAATCCCGTTCCCAAGCCACAGGACAGGTTCAAGAAGGAGCCAATCAGAGCTGCACTACGAACTGATGTTTGGGTTTCCTCAGGACTCTTTCTCTTGCCGAGCAGAAATTGAGGGGCTGCCAAGTGTGTTCTGGGAGATTGTGTCTTCAGGAGGAGCCAGTAGGGTGGGAAGCAATACAGAGCCACGGAGGCGGACCGTAATGGCACAGTTGGAGTACCTGAACAGAGCCTGGCCTGAAATCCCCACAGCGTTCATGAGGGGAGCCATCCCAATGAGCAGACTGACAGGCAGGTGGGTGGAGGCAGTGGGCGTGGACTAACAGGTGGGAGGAGGCAGCGGGCGTGGCGAAATCCTGGGCAGGGCAAGTACCCCTTGCTAGCCTCTGCCTGGAGTCATACAGAGGCTTCCCATCTGGACCTACTAGGTGTGGTCCCTCTCTACCATGCACAGACTTTCTACCAGCACAGCGCCCCCAAAGAGGGAGAAACACAGAGGTCACAGAGACAGGTCTCCATGTGGACTAGTGCACCTGTCAGCTCAGTTGCAAGCCTGGGTAGCTGCATCCCACATAAAGCAGGCAAAGATGCACACCCTCCCCTTTGTGATGCTCAGGGGACTAGGCTGGGAGAGCGACTGGCTTGGGAAACAGGGAAACACAAGCAGCTGCATGTGACAGAGACAGGTGGTGTGGGAGCTCAGGGCACCTCCTGGGTCCCTACCCAGGCGACACTGGACACAGGCATAGGTCTCATATAGCATGACAAATATGTAATGACACTAGCCCCAGGAGACTAGGAAGCCAGCATCAGCCTGCGTCACCCTCCTCAAGGCACTGAGGTGGACATCATAAAGCCACCAATCATATGCAGTGGGTGAGTCTGTGCTTGCCAGACTCCCGGGACCAGGCCTGAGACTCCCTGTCTTAGTTTCTTTTCTATGCTGTGATAGAAATTGCCTTGTTTATAGAAGAAAGGGCTAATTTGGGGCTCAGGGCTCTAAAGGATTGGGCCCACAATGGTGGGAAGGGCATGACCACAGGGGCGGGAACAGAATTGTGGCTTGAGAAGCAGCTGAGAGCTCACATCTCAAACTGCAAAGAGGAAGCAGAAGCCACATACTGGAAACTGGGCATCGTTTTTGAAACCTCAAAGCCTGCCCCCAATAACATACTTCCTCCAGCAATGCCACACCTCCTAACCCTACCCAAACACTGTTATCAATTGGGGACCAAACATTCATTTGGGCACCCAAATACCAGGGACATTTCATGCAAATCACCACACTCCGCTAGAACCTTTGGGGTGTGACCCTGCCTCTTTAGATGGATGCCATGCCCCGGACTGGCTTTACTTGTATCTGTCAGGCAGGATGTGAACTGAGGAGTGTGGAAATGAGGTGGGGGGGGGGCTTTGTCAAGAAAGCCTTTGGCTGTGGACATAGCTCAGTGGTAAAGCACTTGCTTGCCTGGTTATACACAAGGTCTTGGACCCCATCCTAACACCACCACCCCAAAATTGCAGTGGCACATGCCAGGCCAGCACGTGCTACACAGAGAGACTCAAAAGAAAAACAAGTTGCTGGAAAGACCGCTCCGTGGTTAAAAGCATGTATCGCTTTGGCAAAGAACCAGCGTTGGGTTCCCAACACTCACGTTAAGTGGCTCATGACTGCCTGCAACTCCAAGGGATCCAGTGCCCAGCTCTGGCCTCTGCAGCCACTGCACTCACGCACAAACACCTAGACAGATGCATACACATAAATAAAAATAGAAGACTTGGAAAAGGAAAGTACACCGTGCCATTTCCAGTTGGCTCTCTGTGTCTCCCGCTGGTGGGTCACATGTGAGCTCCCAGCTTCTGCTGCAGCCCCATGCCTGCCCGCCCTGCTCCCATGCTCCCATGGACTCTGACCCTCTGGAACTGTACGCCATGAAATCAACGTTGTTTATAAGCTTCCATGGTCATGGTGTCTTATCACAAGATAGAAAAGTAACGAAGACACGAACTCAGGTCTGTGGCTGTCAGGCTCTCCTAGGGCTGGCTAACACTCATCCAGAAGAGCAGTCAGGGCAGGCCCCACAGCTATGAATTTCAACAAGTTCCCCATGATGCTGATGGTCAGGGATAGCCTCTTGAGGACCAATGATGTTGAAGATAAAGCACCGTTGCTGGGATTCAGGGGCAGTGATAGTGCGGCCTTCTGCTACAGCAGCCTGGATGCAGGCAGGGGACGGAAGATGGGGTTGGGGGCAGGGTTGGATCGTGGGATAATCATTTCCCTATGGAAGTCAGTCAGAAGAGGATTGGCCAATCAGGGTCAAGGTCACAGGTGTGACAGGGCATGGAGTGTTCGGCTGCTTGTATCTGGTGATTTTCTTGGAGAGACCTGGGAGGAATGTTTGTTTGTTCACCCCAAACAGGGAGGAAGATGATGGACCAAGGAAAGTCTCCCTCAAGCCCAGCTCAGCCAGTTGCTTGGGCAACTCAGAGCAGCAGCACCCCAAAAACGTCCATCCTCACGAAATATCCCTCCTCTCCTATAGTATGAGCAGCAGCAGCAGGGCAGGAGGGTTAGGGTTAGGTTAGGGTTAGGTTAGGGTTAGGTTAGGGTTAGGTTAGGGTTAGGTTAGGGTTAGGTTAGGGTTAGGTTAGGGTTAGGTTAGGGTTAGGTTAGGGTTAGGTTAGGGTTAGGTTAGGGTTAGGTTAGGGTTAGGTTAGGGTTAGGTTAGGGTTAGGTTAGGGTTAGGTTAGGGTTAGGTTAGGGTTAGGGTCTCATGGGGTTAGGGTTAGGGTTAGAGTTAGAGTTAGGGTTTAGGGTTAGGTTAGGATTAAGGTCTCATGAGGGTCAGGGTTAGGGTTTAGGGTTAGGGTTAGGGTTAGGTTCTTATGAGGGTTGTATAACCCTCCCCACCCATTGCCACATACCCAGTATGTTACTTAACCTTTTAAAATTATTTTGAATTTTATTACATCTTATTTGTGTGTGTGCGTGTGTTTAAGTTGTGGTACACATGTGGAGGTCAGGGGACATCTTGCAGAAGGGAGTTGGTTCAGGCTTGACAGCAAGTCCCTCTACCTACTGAGCCGTTGTGTCACAGGCCCAGGTCCTTGTTTTATTTTCAGACTGGGAATGAAACCCAGAGCCTTGCACTTGACGTGGATGGTTCGTCTTGGCTGTCAACTTGAATGGATTGAGAATCGCCGTGGAAACACCCCTGTGGATCTGCCTGTGAGGGTGCTGGAGCCTGAGACTGAGTCTGAGGCAGATCTCCCTGACCTCAGCATTGTAAGCAGTCACAGGGAGTAAAGGTTGAAATCCCAGCACCACAGGGTGCCCACATCGCCAGCAGCCCCTCAGCTGATTGCTCAAGCCCCATTGAAGTGACCGAGATCAAAGTCATCTAGAATACCTCATCCCCCCTAAACACTCCTTCTGGCTTCTCCACAAATCTGGGGTGCCTTGGTGTCCCCAGAAGCATCCATGATACCCAAACTGTAGCTGAAACATTTTCATGGAGGTCCCAGGCACTGGGTGACCACTCTACCTTACGACCTGGGGGGTGTGGGCCCTGGGGGGGGGTAGGCCCTGGGGGTGGGTCCTGTGTAGTGGGCCCTGGGTGGTGAGTCCTGGGCGTGGACCCTGGGTGATGGGCCCTGTGTAGTGGGCCCTGGGGGTGGGCCCTGTGTAGTGGGCCCTGGGTGGTGAGACCTGGGTGTGGGCCCTGGGGGTGGGCCCTGGGTGGTGAGTCCTGGGGGTGGGCCCTGGGCGTGGGCTCTGGGTGGTGGGCCCTGGGTGGTGAGCCCTGGGGGTGGGCCCTGGGCGTGGGCCCTGGGTGGTGAGCCCTGGGTGTGGGCCCTGGGGGTGGGCCCTGGGTGGTGAGCCCTGGGTGTGGGTCCTGGGCGTGGGCCCTGGGTGGTGAGTCCTGGGGGTGGGCCCTGGGCGTGGGCCCTGGGTGGTGAGTCCTGGGGGTGAGTCCTGGGGGTGGGCCCTGGGTGATGGGCCCTGTGTAGTGGGCCCTGGGGGTGGGCCCTGTGTAGTGGGCCCTGGGTGGTGGGCCCTGGGGGTGGGCCCTGGGGGTGGGCCCTGGGTGGTAAGTCCTGGGGGTGGGCCCTGGGCGTGGGCCCTGGGTGTGGGCCCTGGGGGTGAGTCCTGGGGGTGGGCCCTGGGTGAGTGAGAGTGAGACTGAGGTGGACTGGCACACGGTGGGGTGGGGTGGGGTGGGGCGGGGCGGGGCGGGGCTTGGGAAGTTCCCAGGGATTACTCTTGCCTCCTAGCCTGACTGCTGCTGGGCTGGATGAGAGGTGGAGGAGAAGGGAAGGAGACGGTGCCTCCAGGCTTGCTCAATTGGTGGCACTGTCACCAGCACCCAGGACCCAAAAAGAGGTCTGACCCTATGCACAGGGAGGGCAGGATGCAACTGTTGTCACAGACAGGGAAATTGAGGGAGTGTTTGACATAGAGGGGACACATGGCTATTATAGGCTGCCCGGGGCCAGGCGCCGTATCTGCAGTGTGGTAGGGATGCCTGCCCCCCCCCCCCAGCATTTGAACTGTTACAGGGAGACTAAAGACAGAGGGGGAATTCACCAGGAGAGGCTGCTGGGGTGGCTCAACAGTAAAGGTACCGCCACCAAACTTGACAGCCCCAGTTCAATCCCAAGGACCCATATGGTAGAAGAGAGCTGATCCCTGACCTCTATACATGTTACACACACACACACACACACACACACACACACACACGCACGCACGCACGCACGCACTCACAGAACAAGAGACTCCACACTCAGTGGAGACGGAAAGGGCTCAGAACCGTGTCTGCAGAGATTCAGGATGACATTTGGCCAGAGCCAGGGATGGGGACCCCTTCTTCAAAATGTCACCCCAGTACTCAGGAGGAAGGTGGGAGAGTTTGAGGCCAGCCTGAGCTACACAGTGAGAGTCCTTCTCCAGGAAAAAGAAAAGGTAGGGCAGGGCTGGAGAGCGCGCCACTTCCCCAGAGGGCCGGGAGCTCCCAGCACCCATGGCTCATCACGGCTCCAGCTTCAGGGCATCCAATACCACTGGCTTCTGAGGACACTCACACTTACGGACACATGTTCCTCTGACATCCTTCACCATGCTGTTTGAGACAGGGTCTCTCGCTGAACCAGGAGCACGCAGATGGGCTAGATTATCTATCGGGCAGTGATTCCCAAAGATCCTCCTCTGTTTCCTCAGCACTGGGTTACAGGCATACACTTCGGGATCCAGCTTTTTCAGTGTGTCCTGGGGATCAAACTCAGAACTCCATACTTGTGTGACAATTATTTCTCCTGCCAAACCATCGTTCAGGCTGCAGCAGGCAGCCCCTGAGGCTGGACCTTTAGAAGGAGCCCATTTCCCTGCTCTGTTAGCTGCCAACTGGATCCAATGTCTGTTCTAAAGTAAACGGCCCCCAACTCTGATGGCTTCCCTATGAAAGGTGGGGGCTTCGTCCCCGCCCTTAGAGTTCAGGCAGATTGGCAATTGTACTGGCTAACCAAAAAGCAAAAACAAGGCCAGGCATCTTTTATCCCAGCACTCAGGAGGCAGAGGCAGGCAGATCTCTGAGTTTGAGGCCAGCCTGGTCTACAGAGTGAGTTCCAGGACAGCCAGAGACACACAGGGAAACCCGGTCGTGGAAAAAAAAAAAAAAAAAAGAATCAGTTAACCAAACAACAACAACAAAAAGCAAAGCAAAATCAAGGCTGGAATGTCAATGGCAGAAGCTTCTGAAATACTAACTCACTCTGGAGCCCTGGTTACCTTGTAAGAAGTAAGATGTCTTGAGGCATCAATGATGTGACAGAGCTCAAGCCACTCAGTCAGAAGATGAGCTGGTGGTGGCTGTGGAGGCCAGCCTTCCATCCATCCATCCATCCAGCCAGCCAGCCAGCCTTCCATTCATCCAGCCTTCCATTCATTCAGCCTCCCAGCCATCCATCCATCCAGCCTCCTAGCCTCCCAGCCTTATAGCCTCCCAGCCTTCCAGCCTTCCAGCCTTCCAGCCATCAAGCCTTCCATCCATCCAGCCTTCCAGCCTAGACACAGATTATGGGTCAAGAAGCCTCCATAGTCCCTTACACACCAAGTCCTTGGTCCTTTTTGTTGCTAACCAACTGCAGCGCATCATGGAGCAGACACAGCTACCCCTGGCCAACCTTCCATGCCACTGAGCCAGTGAGCCTAATAGAAGGGTTATTATCCCCTGCTAGGTTTGGGCGGTTTGTTTTGCAGCCAAAGGGCAGAACAGCAGCTCCTTGAGTAACTTGCATTATTGTAATAACATTGCTTTTATGCAGAAACCAAAAATTCATCTCCCCACGCACACCACTGTTTGAACCTTCCCTAACAATTACCTCTGAATGTAAAATTAATGGCCTTCAGAGCCCTTGTTAATCACGGCAGCGTTTCCACCCGTAAGTCTAGCACGAGGAAGAAAGTGCACATTACTCTCGGCTTGACTGTGAGGGTGCTAGCATTCTCACACACAGAGCCTGCGTGCGCTTGCATGTGCACAGGTTCTTCTGTAGGCATGAGAAGAACAGAGCCAGTTGTAGGGGTGCAGACCTGTATTCTCAGGAGCCCCGGGCAGGAGGATGGCAAGTTCTAGGTCAGCCTGGGCTACAGTCACGGTTTGAATCTCGAATATCCCCCACAGCTTCCTGCATCTGGGTACACAGTTCCCAGCTAGTGGTGCTGGTCCCAGAGGCTATGACACTGAGGTAGGGGAACCCAGCTGGAGGACAGAGTTCACCGGGGCGGCGGGGTTGGTGGCGCGGGGGGGGGGGGGTTGACAGTTTCTGGTTTGGTTCTTTCTCTCTGCTTCTTCTGACCCAGCATGGTGTGAAGAGCTTTGGGTTCCAGCTCCCACCACTGTGACCGTCTGCCCAACCCCCACCGTGATGGATCATTGTTCCTCCAAAACCATAAGCCAGCATAAACCTTCCCTTCAGTTATCCCAGGGATTTCGGCACAGCAGTGAGAAAAGCGACTGTCACAAATATAGATAGATGCTGTCCGGAGAGAAAGGGCACGGGTGGGTTTATGTCTGTCACTCCAGAACCCAAGAGGCTGAGACAGGCGGATGAAGGGCTTCAGGCCATCCTTGGCTACCTAGTGAGTTTGAGCTAGCCTGGGCTACATGGGACCCTGGTTGTCTGTTTTGTAAACAATGTGAACACGGTAGTGGAGAAAGAGAAAGTTTCTGGAGGCCGCAGAGCCCTCCCCTGCCACTTGAGGGCATTAGGGTCTCGTGGCGATGGAGAATGAAGATGCTGGAGGAACCCAGAGTGGAGGTCCCTGGTTTATAGTCTCCTGGTGTTCCTCTGTGGTTTGCATCTGGTGTGCCCCCTGGGGCTGGAGAGGTGGCTCAGGGGTTAAGAGCATTGACTGCTCTTCCAGAGGTTCCAAGTTCAACTCCCAGCAGCCACATGGTGGTTCACAACCATCTGTAATGATATCTGGTGCCCTCCTACATGCTGGCAGAACACTGTATGCATAATAAATATATAAATCTTTTTTAAAAAATCTGCTGAGCCCCTTTGTGGCCCCTTGGAAGCTTGGTCATTGGGGACTAAGAGGCAGGGCCTGGAGCAAGGGCTTTGGGGTGTTAATGCTAGGAAGAAAGGTTTCTGTTGCTATGATTGATAGAACACCGTGGCCAAAAGTGACTTAGGGAAGAAAGGGTTCATTTCAGCTGGACGGCTCTTGGCTCACACTCCATCACTGAGGGAGTCAGGGCAGGGGCCTGGAGGCAGGATCTGAAGCAGAGGCCATGGTGCAATGCAATGCTACTTACTGGCTTGCTCCACGTGGCTTGTCCAACCTATGTTCTGATAGCAGCCAGTACCACCTGTGGGGGGGGGACCTCCACACTGGGCGGGGCCCACCCACATCAATCATCAACCAAAAAAGACTGACCAACAGGTCAGTCTGATAGAGGCATTTTCTCAACTGAGCTTCCCACATCCCAGATGGCCCCAAGTAGTGTGAAGTGGACACGGAACTAGCCCGTACGAGAGGGATCACTAAGCACTGGTGAGGCCTAAGAGTGCTTATTCCAGAAGGACAAGGCTAGCCCTGCCCTTGTCTGCCTGCAGTCTCTTCCAGTGATCTTTTCCCCATGGCTTGCTCCACAGCATTACTGGATGCCAGGGGTGCCTGTGGGCTGCATCACTTTGGACTGCAGGAAAACACCCCCACCTCTATTTTGGAACAGGTTCTCTCTATGTAGCCCAGGCTGGCCTCAAATTCATGACCCTCTTTGTGTGTGTGCGCGCACGTGCATGCATGCACGTGTGTATGGGTGTGTATGTGTGCAGGTGCTCTTGGAAGCCAGAAGAGGGTGCCCAGATTCCCGGAGCTGGGGTTACAGTTTGTTGTGAGCAGCACGATGCGAGTGCTGGGAACTGAACTCAGGTCCTTTGAAAGAACACCAAGCACTCTTGCTGCTGAGCTATCTCTTCAAGCCCTTAAACTTCGTTTCTTAATAACCACCCTTGGGTGTCTTACTATAGCAATGGAAAAGAAATAAATACATGTCCAAATTGCTACCAGATCCCCTATGGCCATCAGGACAGGGCCATGCTATCTCCAAGCTGTGCCCTCTCTCTACACAAGCATACTTCTTCCTCCAAAATATATCTGTTCAGACCCTCCACAGGGCATTATGCTCCTGGAGAGGCTTCAAGCTTCTAAAACACAAGAACAGCACATTTTCAGCCGACAATTACAAAAGGAACATTTATGCTCATCCCCTCCAACTTTCTGTATACGTGTGTGTGTGTGTGTGTGTGTGTGTGTGTGTGTGTTTCTGGGATCTGAACCCATGCCCTTGAGCATGCTAGGTGAGTCATGTTCATATCTAACAAATCAACATTTAACTGACCCCCAAAATGCCACAGACAAGGCAGTTTTGGGAACCCCCTGAGGGGCAGTGTTCTGCAAGTAACATGTGGGGCTGTTAGGCTTTGAGTTGGCAACACAGTGGTAAAGGCAGACCCTACTAAGGCTTTGGGGGCCAGGTGCTGATGGCTAGAACATTTCCAGACAAATGGAGTGTGAGTCCCTCCAAGTGCTTTAGAAGAAATGTCTCTGGAGCTTGAGGCTGACCACCTATGTGTTCTCATGTTTATCAGTTATGATCGTAAACAGGCAGTGGTGGTGTGTGCTGCTGAATCCATGCACTGGGAAAGCTGAGGCAGGCGGATTGTCACATATTGAAGACCAGCTTGGGCTACATAGAATACCAGACCAGTTATGGCTCCATAAAGAGATCCTGCCCCTGCAACCTCACACCCACACCCATGCATCCGCACCCCCCAGAAAGCTGGATGCAGTGACAAGGCCCTTAATCCCAGCACTTGGGAGACAGAGGCAGGTCTGTCTCTGGGAGTTCAAGCTAGCTTGATCTTCATAGAGAGTTCCAGAACAGCCAAGACTACATAGTGAGATTTGGTCTCAAAAAGAAAAAAGCCCCAAAGCAAGAAAAGAAAAAAGAAACTTAGAATTTTAAAAAAGTCTTGAAAATCAGTGTCTGTTAAGCACTTTCTCCTGCCACTGAGTAGAGCGTCCTTTTTTGGCTGAAGAACCCTAAATTCTCAAGTGCCAGGGCAGCAGTGCCCCCTGGTGGCCACCGAGCTCTGCTGATGCAGCGGGAAGGGGTACTGAGGGGCGGGTGCTTCAAGCTGTACTTAGAAGGCCTGTCGCTCACTCCTTCTCTCTGTCTCTCTGTCCCACAAGGTTTTGTTTTCTCTTGCCCCAAAGCAGATGTGTTTATTGATCTTGGATATCTGATGTCCATTTTTCCTCAAAACAACTCGTTCTTTCTTTTTTGAAAGGTTTATTTATTTTATGTATATGGTGCTCTATCTACATATAGAGTCTACATGCCAGAAGAGGACATCCGATCCCATTGCAGGTGGCTGTAAGCCACCATGTGGGTGCTGGGAATTGAACTCAGGACCTCTGGAAGAGCCACCAGTGTTCTTAACCTCTGAGCCATCTCTCCAGCCCCTCATTTTCTTTTGAAGAGTCTCTCACAAGCATCTCGTGTGGTTCCTGAAGACCCAGCACCCATCCCCAGGCAGCATTTCGAG